TCAATTAAGTGGCCTCCAACATGTCAATTAACGTTAAAATAATTTTAGATATTATCATTTTCTACTCTATATCCATTGAAATGTGTATAATTAAGTGCTTAATTGTGATGCTGATGCGACTTAATTCACTGCTATAAAAAACGATGATAGTGAATCAAGTGAATGAATGTATGAATGAATAAATGAAGGAAGACAGAGAATGTGAATGTAAAGTAAACATCGCTTAAGTGATGGAATCTCGATTATATATTCAATCAAGATATAGCTTGTCTACTTCTTCTAGGTGCATTAAAATATAAATATAGGCCTAAGTCGATAATAATTTATTGAGAATGATGCTTGGTAATTTCATATTCAGTTGTAACGTACAATGAACGAGAGATAGATGAAGATGCAATCAGAAGTTAAGAGGTTTCTAGGTTTTTTGAGGTTAGAACGCATGCTGAGGACAATTGAGTTGTTTTGGTTCAGGAAGCTTCTACATTACTAAGTTTATCTGCGATATTCTTCAAGTTGGAGCATGAAGCCTATTCTAAGGCCGAACTAAGGTAAGGCTTCCAGATTTAAACTAAGAAGCGTCTAAACCTTCAATTTCCAATCAAGACCTTTACCATTCACTAGCTGTTTGGTTTAACTGATTGTTCTTACTTGTCTTAAGTATTATTAAGGTGCCTGGAAATAGTTTAATAGGCAATGGAAACACCTATTGTTTAAAACGACATGAATATGAATCAAACTTCATTCATAAGCTAAATATGCTAATTACCAAAATCTGTGCCACAAACCCAGTCAGTCAAATTAAACAATTAAGCACAATATGCTCAACAGAACATGCGTTAAAATTTTTAATAGCCAGTAGCAACTCAATGATGGTCTTTTTATGGAAATTTCTCTGTTCGAAAGGCATTTCCATGAGATTATTTCTCATTCGTGTGTGATGATTACGAGAATCTTCATTGAATTTTAACAACAAAACAGAAGTCTTTTATGTTTATTGCATGCAAAGTCTTTATCATATGAATACATCTAAGCGCAAAAATTGCCTAAAGAAAGAAATATTGCGATGCCAAAATATTTCCTTAAGACCATCAATTTTAAAAAATTTTATGTTTCCAACTCCCGCTGAGATAGAGAATGTGAACGTAAGTGACATTTTGCTTTCCATTTCTTTTCTGTTCACAGATTGATAAGAAAAATTTTATTTTTGCACAGAAAGCGAGAAAATAAATGACAGACTGTGAAATCATAATTTATGACCTTGCATGGGAATTCAGGGAGGGGGGAACAACTGACTGAAAACAGATTTTTAAAAATGGTTCCCAATCAATTTTAAAGTTGTTCTTAAACAGTTAAGAAAAATTTGTCAACCAAAAATGGTTCCAAACTAGTTTAAACATCACTGTAAAATTTTTTTGTTAAACATTTCACAGCTGGTTGTTCTCCCCCTGATGGAAATACTTTTATTATCTTCAAAAATTCATCAATTGCTTTTTTATTCACATTTTTGACCCCCCGAACTCTAATCTCGACAATAATAAATAAACAATTTTATAACTTTACTCTACTTTCCATGATTATTGTCATTATTTTCTATTCTATTGAATATCTATTGATTCTATTGTAACTCTAATGAATAGACTTTGTTTGATTTTCTAGAAAAAAAATTTCATGCTTCAATAAATCTTAAGAATCTTTGTGACTTTATGAAAATAAAAATATTTCCATTTAAATATCTCTATTGTCTCATGAATAAAGCTGACTTGGTCACATTATTTGCTTAGCAAGCCACAAAATAAATTCCATAATATCTCTTTTTTTGGTTTGCTGGAAAAATGATTGTAAAGTAGGTGTGCGTAGGCCGATTGATGATGTTTCAAAGAAGCCATTTGAATGCGACTGTCATAAAAATATTTGTCAAATGTAAAATGTAAAGATTTTAATTTATTTGAGCAATCAAATGACAAGGAAGTGACGAGATATGGCTTTTGAGGAGTTCAAGGGAATGGTCACGGTTTAGATTGGAATTCTAAAGAAATTTTTGAAGTTTAAGGTTTGGATTACTGTTTGATAGGCTTTGACGATCTTAATATCCTTGAATATTTTGATTTCAATATCCGGAAACTCTAGTTTGACGTAGCAAGGTGTACAGAAGATTTTAGAGACTGTCGGACGTAGGAGCAATACGAGGTTGTTACCTTAGGTTCCTATCTTTAATCGAATCACGAATATAACATATCCTGTTCATATCTCTCAAAATCTATCATAATCAGACTCAATTTTCCAACCACAACAATCAAAAACTTCTATAAAATACTAAAACTGATTAGCATAATTCTCCCATAGCATCAAAATGTCAATACTCTTGTCAATATTTCCCATAAATTACTTCCATCGCTTATTCATTCACTTCCCCCATACTTTTTAATTTAAATTGAATAGAAATTTATAGAAAACGCGTCTATTGATAAGAACAAATGACTAGTAAGCGATTTCAAGAGGGCTCTCTCGAGTTAGACTAAACAAAATGAATTTATAGGCAGCACAAACATTTGATAAATTAATATAAATCGATATTCAATTGACATAAGTGAGGCGCAAAAAATCTATTTACGATTGAATGTTTTTTAGAAGTAAATTGATGGCTTTTTACTGTTTTTATGGACATTTACCTTGAAGTGAATTAAATTTCTAATTTTTTTAAAAAATATTGTGAGTGCCTTCATACGTGGGAAATGTTTTAGTACCAGGCATGGTAAAAAAAAATCACGTAACAACTGTTTTACTTTATTGCAGGAAAATGTCAATTAAAATAGATGATAAAAATGTCAATAATAATTTTTTTATGCTGTCTCCGTATGCTTACACGATAAAATTGTGAGAATCTCTTCGAAATGTCAATTGACTCTCGCACGAATCGCATTTGATAGAAAGAAATGCAAATTATTGCATGAATTTCCATTTATCCAATTATGTATATCTGTACATGTGCTTAATAGAAAAATTTCACTTATGCTACTTGCCCATCTTTGGACTTCCCGTTTGCTGCATTCCGTAGTACCCAAATCAAGATAATTTTACTTCTGCGCTTACCTAGAAATAGACAGAAAGACGAGAAAAAATAAATAAATATAGTATTTAATTTAATTTAATTATTGAGATTAAATCCAATTAGTATCAATGAAATTTCATTCCAATTTTAATATTATCAGTGGACTTAGGGGGTCCTCGAATTGAGTTATTTCAAGTTTAAAATAAATTTTTTGTAACAGATTTTTCGATTTCAAAAATTTGAACTTAAAAATTCAACCTTTGAATTTTCGCTACAATTCAAATTTCATATTTCCGTTGATTCAATTTAAAGTGACAAATAATTTATTTGCACCCCAGACCCCAGTAGTGGAAGATGTCAGTGATTGCTACGTGTCTTTAATTGATTATGCCGTCAGAAAGTTGTTTACGTCTCTCGCAATTCTAGTGCAGAGCAGAGAGAAAAAATGTTGAATTAAGTGCAGTTCTAGGTCAATAATAACTGACTATTATTCAACATTATTATCGCATTTTTCACCGTCATTTACAAATGAAGTGCCTGATGATTAGCTCTGATATCCATAATTTATTTTTGTGTATCGACAGTTGGTGCTTCCTGATAACTCAATTTGTACACATAAGAAAATGACACGTGCGTTAAACGGACGATTGAACTAGTGAATGGATGAAGTCATGTGTTTAATAAGCCTAATTACCTCAATTTCCTGGCATCACATTCGACATTAATTTTTAGTTTCTTTTTTTTTCTTGGTAATTAGCATCGACAAACTTCTTATTTTGCTTATTAAAAAATTAATTTACATTCACTCACATCCATCTGTCAAAGTAATATAGAAATCGGAACTAAGGCTTAATAATTTTTCGAAGGAAATATCACAGACAGTTAAACTGAGAGCAGGCAGAATTGGAAAGGGAAGAAGAAATTTTTGTGTTTTCTCATTTCGTGATTCTTTTCATTTGATTTTAGTTCATAACTACAGATAGTTAAGAATTAGAGGAAGTGGAATGAAAGACGAAGAAAATTGAAAACAGAACCTCTTGAATGCCTTTGTTAAAGAACTACGCAATAATAATGCAATTAACTTTAACCCAATTTTGATGTTTTCATTATTATTTTTTCATTGACGACTTAATTCCACAAACTCATTAAGTGACTGTCATCGTAATCATGAATGAAATGTTAACTTTGTTGCCTTAAACTAGTCTAATAATCTGCTTCTATTCTCAGGCATGTTAAAAAATTGTAAAATATTCAAAAAACCGTTATTTATTTGAAAAATTCAAATTTTTGAATCCAAAAAAGTGGGTGAAAAATCCAAATTAAAATTTAACGGACTGTTTTTAAATCAACTTAAATTCAACAATTTGAAGTAAAACCACACCTGGAACTAAGCAATTAAAGCGACGTGCTCAGAAAAACAAATTGTCCCGTAAAAACGTTTTAATATGATTATTTCTCAGCTGACCATCCCTTTTGTTAAAAATGCTCAACTTAGAAAAGCAAACAAAAAAATTTCAACACACAAAACCGGAAATCCTTTATGAAAGAGACGTCATCAATGCTATCATAATTTCATATCCCTTTTCTATAAATTTGTAGGCGTTATTTACTTTGTGTGTACGCTGTGAATTTATTAATGTGCGTGCCTCATTGCATTTTATTGTTTATTTGCTTTTATTAGAAATCATTAAAAATGTGTCTTTATTATGGTTGCGTAAGGGCCTTTTTTAAAGCCGCGATGAGAAACTTTTTATTGCACTTTTGTTGACTTCAATTTTATGCAGCAATTGAGCAAACTTGATTTCTTTATTGAATTGATAAGGCTGGGTTCTTGAGAAAAATGATTGAAATTATCAGAATAGCAAGGCACGTTTATGATTTCAAATTAAAATTTTTCATCTCAGCAACCTTCGAAATTTAAATTCAGAAATTTTTCATTTTCCAAAAAACTTTCAAACCAAACGCATCAAAAATTTCAAAAATATTCAGAATGAGCCAAACCAAGCCATGTTGCTTTACAGGGGATAATTGCGAGATTTGTAATCCACCCGAAGACTCTAAAATTGAAGACATTTACACAGATCGAGAATTCAACGAAATTGCAAATCAACCTAGAAGTTCATCACCAGTATTAATGTGGACTCATGATACATTCGACTTGCTAAAGCTTGACAGTCAGGATGCATTTGAGGAATTGTACCGACAATCGATGCAAGACGACAAGAATCAATTTAATTGCTCAGAGGACTTTAATTCTCTTTTTGAGGATCAAAATTCAAAGTTAACTGAAGAAGAAGCTTCAAAAGACTCAGAAAAGAATCAAAATAATCTTGAAAATCCATAAAATCCGTCAATATAATATATTTTGTCTATACCTTGATGAATTATTATTATTATTATTATTATTATTATTTTATTTATTACTCGCAAGGAAAAGCCATGTGAAAAGTATTTAAACTATTTCAGATGGCATAAAAACCCTACTTAACCTTTTCATATTTTATGCATATAATTAAATTAAGTTACAATGATATGTTGATATCGTTAAAGAACTTATAACTAAAAGAAACATATTTATGGCTTTAACGGTTATAATGAATTTAAATGTTGACGTACTAGAGTATTGAATATTGAATAGTGTTTTGGCTACAAGCTTTTCAAAAAGTGAATAACATGAATTAACGTTGTTCGACTGACTGAGATATTAATCTTTTTGGCGAGATACAAGGCTTAAGAAAAACCATACTAATCGGAAAACATTAAGATCAACAACAGATTCCACACTAACAATCAATCAGGTAAGGAATATCCAATTATAGGAACTTTGTAAAAGAAATTATTAGTAATTCAAATTGGTGCAAACTTTTAGGTAGAAATTCATCCAAATGATTTTAAATAGCTGTTGTTGAAGCATTTCGACATGAACTGGTCATTGGAGATAAACTGCCTAACATGATATTTGAATGCATGGATGTGAACAGACTTCCTGATTTGAATTGGTAAGTTGTTGTATATGTTTACACCAAAGTGGTCGATATCCTTTTTACCAAAACTATTTTTTGTAGCTTCTGATCGAAGAGACATTTTGTTACGAGCCATTCTATTGCGCTCAAAGACCAAGTTGTTATGCACAGACTTATTATTATTATTATTTCTACAGAGGAAAATAAGGCACGAGGAATTATGCTGCAAACATCAATAAAAGTCACTAAACATTAAAAACTTGTTGTTTTCTTAACACTTTTCAAGATTTTAAAACCAACTTTGTTCACAACAATTATTTTTAACGCAAGAGTTGTAGCAAAGTGAGGACATAATTTACAGACATCTGCTTATGAGACTTTGACATCGACGATCATAAATTATTTTACACAAAAAAAAAATTCATTCGAGACTTTATGAGATGTTTCTTCATAAAGAACCTGATGACATGTCTTTTGAGTCTTATTTTCTTCTTTATTTGAATGACAATTCCGGTTCAAGTCTAAAGAGTTTGACTTTGTAATCCACAACATTTTTCATTTTTCTTTGAGACATTAAAAAATCTATTTTTAAATCTTATTTTTCAAAGTGTAAAATGAGTCATCTAATAATTTTTGGGGGTCCTTAGTTTTAATAACTTGATTTTTTCAACAAATATAGGTTCAATAATAAACACCGAATATTAAATTTGAACATTTTTCAGTCGTTATTTCTGGAAATTGATATAATTTTGAATTTTATTTTCGTTACAAAACTTTTCTTCATATTCAGCATTATTGAAGACAAAGACCCCCAAAAATACACGATAACAAAAATCTGAATGAACCAATCCCACACTAATTGTCTATTTTTCTCTCTTCATCAACACTCTTTTCATATTTTCAAATCATAATAGAAGCGACAGGAAGAAGTGTTACTGCCTCACGCGTACAACAGTAAATGAAATTTGTAAAAAAATTCTAATCACATCTTTAAAGTTCTTTTAAAAAGTATGATTTGTTTTGTTTCCTTTTTGTGGATTATTGGTGCTGTTTGGTGTCTTCTTACACCAACATGTGTTTCCGGAAATTTCTTTAACTGTTTTCTGTGATCTTCTGGATGTTTTTCATTACACTGAGAGAAATTTTATGTTTTTGTGGCTGCTAATGCAGGATTCCTTTTGTAGATCCCCATCTGGGTTGTCTTATGTAACTTTACGTACGTAATTAGACACATCTACGTAAAATAAACTCAATAATTCTTCGCCTGGATCTTTGTCAACAAGAAAACTTTAAATGCTAATTAGAAGCTACGGGAAGCTACAAATTAAATGTCAAGCGATAACATTCGACATTTGCACAAGCAAAATCAGTTTCACAATATTTATCACCAACAAATTGTTATTCAGCTGCTCAAATTGGCGAAAACAACATCAAAGCCATTGCCTGCGTCCCACAATACTTTCTCATGTAAACTAAATCACTTCCTTCAGTGTAAATTGTTCTATTTTTAGGAACTAGGCAATTCATTTTCATTTTTTTATGTGCCTCATCCCTCATTTTTATTTGCCTTACAATTTAGTTCCATATGACATTTACACAATTCATCTTTTGTAATGCTAAACGCACATTTTTATTGCAGAAAGCCACACAATCGATTCCAATTGTTGTGCAAAAATGGTGACAAATTGAGGTAAATGCTATTCAGTTTTTTACCTATTTCTCGTCATGAACTTTTAATAAATAACTCAATTTAAAGAAGGGGGAAGCATACAGCATAATGAATGTCAAAAAGACTTTTTTGAGTGGATGTACAGCTCACACCTTGTTACTAGCCTCGAGACTTATTTGTTTAATATTCAAATGTTTAAATTCCCGGGCAACAAGCACTGATATCGTCACTTACAAGACACATGTAGGAATAATTTCAAATGTAAACATTTCTCATTTATTTGACTTCCATTGGCTGCGCTTGAAAGCAGATGATGATGATGAGCAACAATGGCTTAATGCTCATGTCAATTACGGCTCTTGAAAGCTCTCAATTAAATATTTATTTAAATTAATTAATTAATTTTTCTTTCTTAAAGTATTGGCAAATTAATACACAACTATGATTGACTCAAGTAGCAGAAAAGAGATTATTTTCCACTTGAACTGTCGCGACAATTTCATTGAAATAGGCATAAGAGGAGGAATGAACGAGTCAAATGAGTGTAACATAAAACCGCGAAGATATGTGGATGTACGACTTCATATGATGTGCAATCGAGTGTGAGAAAATAAACTTTAATGGGAACAATTTAGTTGGGATGTTTGTTTATGATGTCCAGCATCCAAAAGTGTCTTTAATAATTACAGTAGAAAAACGTTAAAAATTTAAATTTTCGCAACTGTAGCCAACTTCAAGACATTCAGAATCGTTTGTTTACAAAAGACATTTGATCTTTTCTGACTTATTCCTACTACTTAAAGCTATCTGTAGGTTCGCATCGTGCAAACCATACATTCACAAATGCTACATCACCCAACAAATCTTGCAAACTACTTTAATTATGCCAAACAAATGAATTTTTTAAGATTCAGCACAGAATCAACATTTACTGGACATCATCAACAAATTGACCCCTCAATAGATAGTAAAGGCATCACTCAACAGAATGCCATTAAATGTGCGAAATAATTGCTCATGTCTGTTATCTTTCAAGCCAGAAGCAGTTCATAGAACAGCACAGAGATAAAATTGAGTAATAATAATAATATTTAACGGATGTGTGCGCGCTGAATTGAAGGAAGAATAAAAAAACGAAAGTCTTATAAGCGATGACTCATGAGCAGTTCCATTTTTAACCGGAATTTGCTGAGCATATACAAACTATGTGCAAGAAAGAAATTCCTTCCGAGAGCGTCACAATTCATTGTAAAAAATATTATGAATCACTGCCACTAACAAACAGAAACAGTTTTATCGCCTTTTGTTGCCATTTACATTTTATGAAGCGTGGTCAATGAACGAGAATAATCATCATGCGAATTTTGTTTCTTATTCAATCGATTCATGTATCGAATACAATAATGATGATGACAATGATTTATTCAATTATTGTTCGATTGGGGATGATTCATGAATGATGTTAATCAAATAATTTAACTTTAAACCTCACACGACCCCCACACCTTCGCTCACACAGATCATTTATGATTCTTAGCCGTTAATTTTTAAATTTTTTGCACTTAATTCAAATATTTTTTGACAGTCATTTTTCAAATATTAAATCACCGTTATTTTTCAAACATTTAAGGACCCTCTTTGGATTCTGTTACTACAGAGTTCATCAACCACTTCAGGTATTGAACGTAACCGACGAATTAATCCATACAGCTTTCAATTTAACGAAGCACAATTTCTTTTGAGACATGCAAATTACGTCATAGACAGGTCGAATGTATAAAGTATCGTCAGTCAGCGCTATTATAAACTGTGAGAATTCGTGTACAATTTCCACAGAAGTGAATCATTTCATAACTTTCGTTCTTACTATAATTTACAGCTATAAATTTTATCCGCATGACAAGTGCAAATTCATTATTTAAGCACATGAAAGTGAAATGTGCAATAAGTACAGGAAGAGTGAGACATTCATTATCATTATCATGTGTAGAAAAAAATGAATGCAATTATTTGCAATTAGTCATCTGTCAAAATGTATATATAGGCTTAATATCGCTTAGTTCTTATATGGGAAAGATTGCATATATGCAGTTTTTTTTCTCATCCAGTTTAAGGAAATGATGTAGATTTAATTAAATAATTTTTTTTCTGTTGCATAAGGAAGGCATGATGTAATTATGGCATGTTGCTATTTGAACTTTATGTCTAAATTTGATAATGAAAGTTATGGCCTATTTTTTTACGAAAACCCGAATACATTTGCCTGATAATGATTATATTGCTTGGTTTTGGTGTTGCTTGTCAAGCTTAAATGGCTTAAAAGTTCTCAAATGCTCTGAAAATGTTCAAGTCTTGTGGATCTTTACTGGATCTCAAATAATCAACAAGTTCTATCCAATACTTCAATAATCACATTAGTGAAAAATATTGTAAGCTTTATTCATCAAAACAAATTCATTAACAGTCTTTACCAAGCTCTCTTGACTGATTGAGTTGCATCTGTAAGTATCCAAGTATGTTTTGGATGTTTCTTCATGGCCATTTGTTTATGTCGCGGATGTGATTTACACATGACGAACAGCCTTTCTTGACGTGTCACAAAATAGCAATCCTTGCATCTTCTTTTGCAATTTCCGACTTGCTTCAATCCTCTTTGTGCCGTGATCATCAATTGCTGTGGTTGTAGCTTAATTTGATTGCACCAATTAAAAATACTTGATGTAAATGATCCAGA